CGCCCTCTAGTCTGACAGCAATGTCACTGGAAGCTAATGTGTTAAAATATTTGCATCATCAAACCCTTAATGTTAGGCGTTCAGTGTTTGCAGTGTTGTAGTTGAGCGAGTGTGAATAAGTAAATGTAATCGAAAGCATCCTTGAAACTGGAAATATATTTCGTTGTGTAACACCTTGTCTCGGAATCATTAAAAAACAATTAACACTTTACAACTAATGGTCAAGTCTTTCGAAATAACATACGAGCATTTTGTGGTTGAGAAATACATACCTGTGATGTTATAGCAGAAAACACCAGCTGCATAGTAGCATGAATCCGAAAATGCCCATCCACTAAATGAGCAGTTTGCCAGGTGTTCCTCTGTGCCATTACAATAAACGTGATTCATCCATACTGGGTACGTAGGATTACCATATTTACTTCTTTCACGTCTTGGTTGCCCATCACTTCAAAAATGAACCAAAACAATTAATAACACTTTTTGGCTTCTTATAAATTGGGGAATATAGAACAACGTGTGTTTTTTGCAGTAAAGTACTGATTATAACTAAGTGAGCATATGTTTACATAAGTCTGCGTGCCTTACAACTAGTTAGCTTGGCTCTCCTCTATACCATTAGAGTGTTCGTCATTCGTCCATACTGGGGTGACGTAAAAAAAAACTCTATATATATCTATGATAGATTTCTTGGACATAATTAAAATGAAAAAAAAAGAATAATGCCGATACATTATAAAGCTCCTCCGGCGTGAGATGTTCGATTGGTATTCCCTTGCTTCATGCTGAATACCGAGAAACAAGTGTACACTACAGGGTTTGAAACGAAGCATGCGGATACACACGATTGGCAGGTTTTGTTGGTGGCAATTTATTCTTTTTCTATGCTCATTATAATCATAGACAGTTATGTCTTTGACGGAATATCACGTTACTCGAAAGACCATTATATTGTCGTATCCGGTTTCCTCGAAAAAGCCGAAGACAATTCCATTCATGGTCACCTTGTCCTAATGTCTTTGTACTTTTCAAGGGCTTCTGTGTAAAGCATCATTTTGTTTAACCTTTTGCTCTAGTTCATCAATTTCGTGTTCGATTTACGGCGTTGGTAACATTTCGGTATTCTCCTGTTATTCTTCTTTTTAATGTCATCCGTGTGTATAATTGAACCATTTGCATACTCATTTATCCCGCTTTAGCTTGAAATCAAGTTTTTGTATTCATAAAGTATATGTACACTTGATGAATCGTTCGTGTGAGTGCTTTGTATCAGGCACGTGTACATGTTTACCTGTGTCCAAGCATTCTGCAGGTGACATTTGCATCCTTTTTATCCCAGATGGTATCGGCACACACTGCTCCCCACATACCACTATAAAACACATCCACCCGTCCGACGTTGGTGTCTGGTCCGCCCTCTAGTCTGACAGCAATGTCACTGGAAGCTAATGTGTTAAGATATTTGTATTATCAAACCCTTAATGTTAGGCGTTCAGTGTTTGCAGTGTTGTAGT